AATAATATGTAGCATGATACTGACATAAAAACAAATAGTCCAGTGGAAATAGTGAAGGACACAGAAAATGAACCTACCCGGCCAGAGTTATCTAATTTTTGACAGGATCCAAACATACATTAGATGAAAGATACCCTCTTTAAAATAGGAAAACTGGATATACACATGTAGAAGATTGAAAGATCTCTATCTCTCACCATATGCAAAAATCAACTCAAAATAGATTAGACCTAAGTATAAGACAAAACTACTTTGAAATTCCATCTCACCCCAGTCTTCATGGTTCTCATCGAGACTATAAAAAATAATTAATGGTGATAAGAATGCAGGAGAAAAGCGATTTTATACACTGTTAAATTAATACAGCGACTATGGAAATCAGTGTTGGAGCTTCTTTTAAAAAGTAAAAATTAAGCTACCATGTGAATTAGCTGCACTACACCTCAGTGTATACTGAGGAAATTAAAGTCAGCATGATATATATAGATATAGATATAGATATAGATATAGATATATGAATTAATGATATATGTCATCTCTCTCTTTCCTCGAGAGAGAGAGAGAGAGGAGGGAACTAGTCAGATGTAAAAAAGAATGAAATCATTTGCAGAAAAACAGAACTAGAAATCATCACATTAAGCAGAATAAGCCAAACTCAGAAAGACAAGTATCATGTGTTTGTCTCACATGTGGAATCTAGAAACAGGGGGGAAAAAATGGTAATAGAAGAGAAACTATCAGACAAGAGGAAAGAAATCAAGGGAGGAGGAAAGGAGGGCAAAGGAAGGTAATTGGGGGACTGGAAAAAAGAAAGTCATTAATCATTTTCTCATCTCTGGACATAATGCCTAATACTGATAACTTAAAGGGAAGGTTTATTCTGACTCAGATGCAGTAAACAGAGAAGGGAACCAAGGACAAGAATGTACTTTTCCAGGTCACTCCATCCACCCCAAGTGACCAGATTAATGCACTGATGAATACAATGTAGCTGTGTTCGTCACCTTTTGAACACATGAGGTTTTGGGGTTACATTCCACCCCTGGCCTCCAAATGGCTCATGTCCTTCTCATCAAGTAAAATATATTAAGTCCATCTCTAAGAGTCAGTACCAGAATCTTAATAGTTCCAACGTTGCTGAAAAATCTAAGTCCAAAGTCTCTGAAACTCAAGAGAAACTCTTGATTGTGATCCCCAGAAAAGCTAAAAAATAAAAATTAAATACATGCAATATACAGTGGCACAAGGTAAATCAATTCCATCCCCGAAGAGGAAAATAGAGGAATAGAAAGAAATCATACTAAAATAAGATCAAAATCTAGCAGTGTAGACATTGAATCCTGATTCTCTAGGTCCAGCATCCAGGGCAATTTATGGTAAGAAGTGAACTCCAGAGGAAGCCTGTCCCTACAACATTGCTGATTGCAGCCTTCATAATCTCTCTTTGGGATGTCTTTGCTCACCCATCTGTAGTTTTCCTTGGCATATGCTCCAAATTCCTGACATCTCCAACTTCCTACAGTGTCCACTACACTTTCAGCTTCACCATCACAGTTTTTGGTTTCACTTTTATGTACTATGCTATCAGGCATCCTGCCTGGCCTTCCAGACCTTCCCCTGAGATCTGGAAGGAAGCCTCCATGACCCCATAACTCATGCATTCCACGTACCTGTTAAAGCTGCACCAAATGGATGATGTTGAGGTCTACCAGGAGTCCTTGGATAATACTGCAGAGGTTTCTGAGTGCCTGGATGGCTGAGCTTGGAGAAACATTTCCTTCTGCAGTCCTAAGTGAACAGGACATCCTGAAGTTCTCTTTTTAAAGGAAAGCTTAATAGTTCTGTACCCATATGCCAGCAAATGGTAGGGTCTTGCTGTCTGAAATATCTTCAAGTCATCTTTCCTATGGTCCTGATGCAAAGTACTTGGCTTCTTTTTAATTTTAATCTTTTCTGTAACCAAGCTGTCTGTGGCCCCAACTTTGAAGGATTTTTTTTTTTTCTGTTGCAACTCCAAACTTCTCACAACTTTTGGCTCTCATATGTTCTCTATAGTTTCACTGTTGATTGACTAAAGGCAGCCATCAGTACTCATGCCACAACCTAAACACTGGGCTGCTTTGAAATTTCCTCCACCAAATGAATTAGGCTGTTATCCCTAAATTCAGTTGCCCACAGGGCCTCAGGAAATGGGCAAAATATAGAGATTTTTCTGCCTGAGTATAACACTTCAGTCCAAATCCTAATGGAGTCCTTGTTCCCAACTAAAACCTGCTGAGCCTGGTCTTTACTGTCTTCATTTCTGTCAGCATTCTGGTTACTCCAACCAGAATCTCCCATCAAGCTTGGCTTATATTCTTCTAAGGTTTTTCTAGGCAGCATCTCTAGACCTTTCCAGTATCTTCCTATGAATTATTTCCAAAGAATTCTAAAACTACGTGTCTAGGTATGAGAACAATGACACCATTTCTCTAGTTCCATTTTTTGATATTATCTCCTAAGTGCCAAATAAAGGGGGGAAGCACTAAGAATTCTATCTCCAGTAAAACTAAATTTTTGAAATTAAGGTTTTAAAAAGATATTGCTGAATAAACAAAAACAGAATTCGTTCCCAGCAGGCTTGGGAAGATTTTAAAAACTAGTATGGTACCATATAATGCTACTAGATAGCAACTATAGGAATTAAGAACAACAAATGGTAAGAATTGATAAATGTACGTGTTTTCACTTAATATATCTTTAAAAGAGATGGCTACTTATAGCAAAATTAATACTGTATTTAGTGAGAGATGTTTGAAGTATAAAGATATATGACAGTGACACTTACATAATACATAGAAATACATTATTATAAGGTTTCAATGTATTATCTGAATTAATTTTATATTAATCTAAATTAACAGGAATTGGGGCTGGGGAGATGGCTCAGTAGAATACGTGCTTGCTTGGCAAGCCCAAGGGCCTGAGTTCAATCCCTGGTCCCACAAAAATAAATAAATAGGTAAATAATGTTTAAAAAATGAATTAACAGGAATTAAAGAAACATATTGTAATCTTTATAGCAACAAAATAATTCAAAGAAAGTTAAGAGCAATAGAAAAACTGAAATGACATCATGAAAATATTTAATGAAAGCATGCAGGAAAAAGTAAAGAATTGTTTTCCAGGAAGGTAGTACAAAAAAAATCTATTCATAGATTTCAAATCACTATATCAAAGGTGATATCCAAGAGGTTATTTTGATAGATAGTAAGAAATATTATAACCAATTAATAGAAAATGTCTTACAAGCAGATTGTCCACATAGGCACACCTCTGTCTTGTTTTGTTAGACTTACGCTATAGGGACTCTTTGAAACACTGGTAGAAATATGAATGCAATAAATGTTTTGATTATTTAATATGGTATCAATGATAAAGTTCTCCCCTTTCTATTATATTACTTTTTAAATTTTACAAATTAAAATTCTAGCCATACAATAACTTCGTGGCATTATTTTCTTTATGCTATGAGTTGTTGTAATGTTGTAAATAACTAAAGTAAGCTTCCAGTTTCCTTATTTTCTAGGAGGAAGATATGGTGTCTGCCCAAAGAAAAGAGGAAGTATCCAACAAACAGTTACAGGAGTTACAATCTAATATAAAACAATTAGAAACAAGGTAAATTGGTAAATACAACTAGCTTTGTCTGTTCTTCAGAAATAGATGCCACTGTAAAATTTCAATTTACAATATTTATTACAATATATATTTTATAGGGCTAAATCAACTGTAATCATAATCTGATTTCTGTACTTCGTTTAAAAATTTATTCAACAAATTGTCATACTTTGAACATATTTCCAAAAATTATTCAGTGAGTCAGACCCTTTACAAAGTACCTTAATTCATTTCATAAATGAGAAAGAGAACAGTTGTGTCAAATTTAGTCCAGTAATTTTCTGAAAAGAAATAAAACTGAATAAGTATAGTTTTTGTTTAACACTAATTTTATTTTCATTCCTTTTGAGTGAACCAGACTGATCCTTAGGAACCCAAAGCCTTTCTTCTGAAAAACAATTAAAAATTTTAAATCCTATAATCAGAAAAAAAAAACTGATAATACTTCAAACCCTCTAAATATCTATATTTTTATTAATAATTTTGTGACAGGAGAAATAAACCACTGAAATAGAAGGCAGTGAAAGTAAAAGGATGTGAGTCTTTTAGACTATTTTGTGGGAATCATGGGCCATAAGCCCTGAAGGGATTAGCTGCAGGGGCTGAATGTTATAGATTCATTTTGCATCTCAGGCTCAAAAGTCAAGAAAGCCCTGCCAGCTGAAGCTTATCCCTCACCCCTGTTGGTCCCCTCGACGTCAGGCTGCTCCCCTATACTATGCTTGTGTTCTTGGAAACAGGAATATGCTGATTCCTTTTCCCATCACTGATCTCTGCCTTCTAGTCATCATCAACTGATACCACGTTATAATTTTTAACAGCACTGTATTAACTGGTCTATTGAGTTAGACAACTGTTACTTGAAACTATGCCAATAATTGTGGGCTATGTAGCCACCCCAACACCAAACACTAAATTCTAGCTGTGCTTCCTGCCATCATAACACATCTCAAATGCCATTGCTGTCACTGCAGAGCATTGAATATCAACCATGGGCAGTTCAGAATGCTGCCCTTGAGGTATTTTTCTTAATCTCTTTTCTTTGTGTGTGCTAAACAACATGACTTGAAATTAGATTATGACCTTCTGTTTAAGTAAGGAGAATATATCATCAGACTATATATTCATCTCTTTTGAAAGATAGGAAGTAATTTTTAGCATACTTAAAAGTTGCCCTTTTTTAGA